CGAGGGCAGCGCGACCGAGGGCGAACGCCAGGGCGCCCCTCAACCGCCTCGCGGGCGGCCGGTACCCAGACGCCCCGTCTTCGCGGGCGCGCCGCCCACCGCCCTCCTCCCCATTCATCTTCGCCCCCGCGCCCGCCGCCTCTCCATCCTTCCCTCCCGCCTTACGGCCGCCTCCTCGGGTCGGAGCACGCACCGCGCTCCTAGTTTCCTCCTCCGGTACCGCGGAGACAGGACCATGCAACCCACCTGCCGACGCGGCCATTTCTCCAAGGGGCCCGGGCTCCGGTTATTTAAAGAGGAAATGTCATTGCTCTTCGTTCGCTCCCGGGTTCCGGCTCGCCTAAGCCTCGGCTAGCCAATGGGGGCGGCTGACCAGGCCGGCTCCTCCCACAGCCTTGAAATGCATGGCACCGATTGGTCAGTATTTGTATACTTGCGCATCGGGAAATGTAGTTTTTGGGCCCTCGTTTCCGCGTGCTCCTTGTCGGGCAGGGGTCCAAGCCGGCCGTTCCTATTGGCTAGCTGGGCGGAGGAGGAGCGCCCCTAGCCCGCCACCTTGTGCCTGTGAGATGCGCAGCGCCCGCCGGGAAATGTAGTCTTCTAGTTGAGGAGCGCTGTCACTCTGAGGCATAAGGTAAGAAAAGCTCTTGTAGTATAAGTTTCCCCCAGCTAAGGCCTCTCTCCTCGTCTGAACTCAGTTTTAAAAACCAGTTTCTTCATTCCCCAAAGTCCCTGCCCGTGACTAAATTCCGGTAAGAAAACACGCTCTACATTAGGGCTTTGAAACTCTGCAAAGTTGGAAATGGTCAGGAGGGCTGTTATCCAAAAGTGCAAAGGAAATAGGACACCCCACCCAGAAGAAAAATGTCGGTAGGCCCCAAAGCAAACCTCTGATAACGTCCACTTGAAATGGCATCGCCCTAGCCACCTGGCCTGCTTTTCACAGAAGAGCAGGGTCTGGTTACAAGGCCACTCAGCACCTAAATCCACTTAGTTTACCTTTCTAGCACACCCAGGAAACACCTGTGACACTGAAGAGTCCAGGAGCACTAGCGGGAGGCCCCGATGATTGATTTCCCTTGGGCTCCTTGACTGTGAAGAGGTCCTCTGGGCTTTCCTGGGAAAGGATGCTGGAGAGAGGCTGCAGCTGGAGTTCGCCGGGACAATGCTGAAGCCCTCCTGACTCTTACACAAGCGCTTCGAGCTCTTGAACATAGATCCTTTACCCTAGTATATAAGCAACAGTTGGCATTTCGTCTACCTCATAGTCTTTTTGAAAGAAAGCATGAATTTTATTGTTGACTATTTTTTTCTTCTTCCATTTTTTTGAATGGGAGTATGCGTGTATTTACACGGGTGGTGTGCGTGTGGAGGTGGTGTGTGTGTGGAGGCGGTGCTTGTGCACGTATGTATGTTGCATGTGGAGGCCCGAGATTGGTGTTGGAAATCCTACGTCGTTGCTTTTCTACCTTTTTAGGGGAAGCATGGTCTCTCAATGAAACTCAAAGAGCACACATCCGACTGGTCTTTCCAACCTGGGGATCCCCTGTCTCTGCCTTCCTAGATTGGGTGCTGAAGATTCAAACACCTCTCCTCACACTTGCATGGCAAGCTCTTTAATGACTGAGCCATAGCCTCAGCCCCTTTGTTGGTCTTTTCTCCTTTCCTCATTCTGTTTCTGGCATCTAACAGGATGTCTGACACATTATAAAAACGTTAAAAAAAATAAATGTAAAACAGAAGTGAACAAGCACTGGGAATACACCTTTGAATCAGTGAATGGGAGGAAGCTTTAATTAGTTCACAATGATAACTTCCCTAGTATCGGAAAGATCAAGCAGTTCAATGTTATTTATTTATTTTATAGCTGTAAATTGAACCAGAAACCTCATGCAGGCACACTATCAGCCCCAGGTGAATTTATTAAACAGTCTTGAAATTTCACCTATGATGGAAAAGGAGTGGGGATGATTTAAAATCGTTGAGTTCTATTCCCTAAATATGCTAGAAATTCAAATAAAGTTCCAAGTACTATACTGCTATGCAAATTAATGAAGTGTGCTTCCTGGGGATTGGGGCTTATGAAATACGAAAGCCTTGCTTATCAGCATCATCTTTACATTGTGAACTTGACTTCACTTTTGTTACTTCTAACTTTGAGTTTGCATGGTTCATGTGTTCAATTTAGGAAAATTATTTTGCTCACAATATTAAAGGCATTAGGAAACAATGGCATTACTTCTCGGGATACATTTAGCAAATAAAACGTGGAGCATGCATTTTTGAGGGAGTACTACTGACTGCTTAACTGAAGCTCAAATTTAATCAACAACTTTTCAATCTTGTTAAAATAAAGGAACTTCTACTTACTTTAAAAGAGTAACTTGGCCAATTCTCTATCTTGTTTGTTTTATTTGTTTGACGTGACAAAGGTCAGTTAAGTTGCCCAGTCTGGCCTTGAACTTGAAATCTTCCTGACTCAGCCTTCTGAGTGCTGGGATCACACGATCATTCTCCATAACTAACACAATTTCCTATTTAAATCTGTACTAACAAAATAATGCACTTTTCCATACTGCTAAATTAACCAAAAGAAAGCTTCCTCGTCACTTCACAGACAAAGATTTGTCAACTTGGGGATGGGGCAGAATAAAAGGAACAGCAAGTGAATCTAAATTTGAAAAATAGAAAATTGTAATTCCAAGATTTCTGTTCAGATGACACCCTAAAAACAGACTCCTCTACCTGTCACGTGGTAGTGCCTCCGGAAAATTTTTAAAAATAATTTTAATGCACTTTATGAACAGAATAAGTAGAAGGTTCTCAAAGTTGAAGAAATCAGTTCTACTAATTCTCAGAGCTTTTTAAGAATACAATTAAGAATTTCAGTGTAGATACCAAATGGTGGGAAGCTGTAATTTTGTTTTTGAGTAAGGCAGCTCTAAGTTCAAAAAATCTGTAAAGCCTGAGCGCAGCCTGGAAAGACAGCAGTAAAAGTAACTGAGTTTTCTTAATGTATTCAGTACTGTGTTGCCCTTTGAAGCAAATTTCCTACATAGTTACAGTTTAGAGTAAAATATATAAAGGATAGAAATTGTGAAGGTAACCCAGACTATGTTAAGAACTGCATGTAAGTTAGACACTGGAGCTATCTTACTGTATATGTTACCTCGGCACCAAAAGCAAAAAGGACCGCTGTGATAGCGGCTTGAGAAAAGTCTTGACCTTTAAATTGTGGAGATGAAGGATCATGAAAGCAACAGATTTGAAAAATGAGGGGGAAATGCAGTCACCTCTTTGTGTGTGCCTTAGCATGTGGAGAACGACTTTTAGCAATTATCTGTTGTGCACAGGTGACTGTCAGTAATAATCCCACACAGCACAGAAGTGGTAGCCGTTCTGACGAAGGAGGAGGGAGAGAAAATAGAACCTCACTTCTGCAAATCGATTCTGTGGCTTTCCAATTTCCTCGATTCGTGCTGTGGAGGCTGTGAGATTAACCGGAGCTGTATGAAATGAGAGAAAGTACGGAGGAAACTGAAGGTTCTTACCTCTCAGCAAATGACATCCTTACAAATTTATCTTTCTCAGCTGCAATCTACTTGATGCGTCTAATGTGACATTTTCCTTGTTTTGTTTTGTTTTTATTAACTGGATTAATGCTTGGAATGAAGCAACAGAATGGGTTTTTTTTTCAATATAAATTTAATTATTGCAGCTACTAATTTTTTTTAATTCTGAGACCTATATGTTGCATATAGTTTCTTTTATTTTAAATACACAACCTAAGCGGATATAAACATTAAGTCTGCCTATTGGGTGTTTCTCTACTTTATTGTATCTCTTATATAATGGTGATAACGAGAAGACTATATTTTTAAAACACTGAATTTTACCCCAGAGTATACTAAAATGCATTAATTTGTCCTTGAAATTTAGCCTCCACCAGAAGGACAGACAATGTGCATGGATGAAAGGGGTGGCATGAATATTTAATTTCTCAAAAATACATTTTTTGTTTTGTTTTGTTTTCTTTAGCACTCTCCTCGGCAGGAAGATTAGTGTATAACCCACAGGAAGCTGGAGGAGTTAGACAGTAATTTTCGTTCCTTTCTAACCCTCATTATGTTATGATATAGTTTAAGCTCATGATTAACTAAGACTCATAAATAGGAACATGTAAGCAGGCAGCAGTCTTCAGACTGCAGATGTAAGAACAGAAATTCACAGAGGATAGGCACCAGGTGTTCTGAAAACTACATTTCAAACACAGCAGAGAGAGCAGAATTAAATATGTATAAGGCAAAGCTACTGATGTGTCCCTAATACTTTCAGGAGGAGTTGACTTTTCTGTCTGGTTGCTGTACCACCACTTCTCCAGCCAGAAGCTGCTTTGCTGTGGCAGGCTGCCCCAGGTGTTGGATGATGCGAAACAGCATCTCTGGCCCCACCCATTAGGGACCAGGAGCACACCCCACCTCCAGATGTGAAACCAGTAATGTCTCCAAACATTGTGAAATATCCCTTAAGGAGAAAGCTCCCTCCAGCTGTGAGACACTATTTTTTAATTATTTTTTTTCATTTATTTTATATACCAACCCCAGTTTCCCCAACCTCCTCTTCCTGTTTCCTCCTGTCCCCTCTCATTTATCCCTCACACCGACCCCCGCCATCCACTCTTCCATTCAGAAAGGGGCAGGCCTCCCATAGGAGTCAACAAAGCATGTCATATCATGTTGAGGCAGAACCAAGCTCTTCCTCCTGCATCAAGGCTGGGCCAGGCAACCCTGCATGGGGAATAGGTTCCCAAAGGCCACTCGTGTGCCAGGGATAAGTCCTGATCCTACTGCCAGGGGCCCCACAAACAGAACAAGCTACACAACTGTCACATGCATAGGGCCTACTTTGTCCCATGCGGGCTCCCAGCTGTCTCTGCGAGTTCCCCCTTTGTGAGCTTGATCCTCGCCGGTGAGCCGCTATTTTAAATGTGTCCCCACTTTTCTTCCTCTGGGCCACAGGCACTTCCACTTTGTTGACAGCCCTGTTTTACTTTCCATAAATATAGAACTGTGTTATTTTAAACTATTTCATTCATTTTCTTATTTTTTTAGATTTATTAATTTTGTCTTGTGAGTGTTTTGCCTGCATGTATGTCTGTGCATCACAAGCATGCCTGGTGCCCAGGAAGGTCAGAAGAGGGTGTCAGACTCCCTTGAATTTGAACTGTGGATGTTTGTGAGCTACCAAAATGACTGCTGGTTCCAAAACTCAAGGTCTTCTGCAAAAGTAACTGTTCTCAGCCACTGAGCACCTCTCTAGCATTCTTGTCTTTTTGCTGTGGAATATTATTTTAAGATGTGTTACATTCATTTATGCTGTGAAACATTTGTTTAATGATGCAAAGATGTGCTGCATTCTTTTATATTGCATTTGTTTAACTCTGTGAAGCTTTGCCTGTCTAAAACACCTAATTGATCTAATAAAGAGCTGAATGGCCAACAGCAAGGCAGGAGAAAGGACTGGCAGGGCTGATAGGCAAAGAGAGAAATAGAAGGAGAAATCTTGGAGGAGAGATCAAGGAGTGAGGAAGAGGAAGAGAGGAAGGCTCCTGGGGCCAGTCACCCAGCTGCACAA